TATATACATATATATATATATATATATATATATATATATATATATATATATATATATATATATATATATATATATATATATATATATATATATATATATATATATATATATATGCGTGTCTGTGTGATGTATGTACAATTTGGCCCGGGACAATGTTTTTTTTTTTTTTTTGCATCTGGCCCTCGGCACAAAAAGTTTGGACACCCCTGACATAAGCAAATTGTTTTTGGGGCTGCAATAACGTTCTGTTATTTCTAACTGTTTTTCTATATCAATAAAGTGCCGATACTAGCATGAATGTTCATTCGTATTAATGTCAATGCTGAATGAAATACAAAGAGTTTGAATTCTTATAACTAACATCCAAAAGATATAACCTGTTTACAGTAATCTGCTGTAATTATGCTGCCTTAATTTCACAATAAAACGATGAATACAACGCACTACTGTGAGAACTTACAGTCAAACCCTGTAAAGTGATACTACTGAAATTTACTGTGAAAAATTACAGTAACAATTTTTACAGTGTACAGATAGACTTCCGGTGAACATGTTCATTTTTATACGGTTCCTTTTACGGCATCGCTGCTGTAATGTACTTAAAATATAATCAGTTAAAGAGCCTCTATTATGGGTTTTTGAAAATGACCTTCGTGTAGTGTGTAACACAGCTCTAAGTGAATGAAAACATCCAGCTGAGGTTTAAATTTAAAAGTGCACCGTTTTTAAAACTATTGATTCTTTAGAGAAATATTATTTAAATAATATTAATATTATTATTATTTAAATAATATTATTTGATTTAGAGTCAAATAAATGAATAGAGTTGGGTTCGGACAGAATTTTTCGCAGCATTTCCTATAATTTTTGTTGTTCTGGAGAAAGTCTTATTTGTTTTATTTCAGCTAGAATAAAAGCAGTTATTAATTATTTTAAAGCCATTTTAAGGTCAATATTATTAGCCCCCTATTATTAGCAATATTAGTGTTGGATTGTCTTCAGAACAAACCTCTGTTATACAATGACTTGCCTAACTACCCTAACTTTACCCTAATTACCCTAGTGAAGCCTTTACATGTCACTTTAAGATGAATACTAGTCAAATATCTAGTATCTAGTATCAAATATCTATATCTTGAACATGTCAGTTAAATAGAAATGGTGGGGGGGTGTATACAGGATGGCTAATATTTAGGAGTAATCATCAATAACAGCCTTGTTTTATGTCGTCCTTATATTGTCTGCGAGCTTTGAAGTGCATGCAGGTCAAAACAATAAATGCAGTATTCCCAAATAAGAGTCCCCAAAGTCTCAGCATATCTGACAGACATCGCATCTCTGCAGGAGGAGAGGATGAGAGTGTAAAAACACACACACACACACATATATACACATGACGGTGCTTTTATGAGCGACAGCACCCGACTCCCTTCATCTCCTTGTTCACGTACTCCTGCAGCTGAAACTTGGGCTCGTTTGGTTCCTTTAACTCCCTGTGCTTCAGTTCCCTGAGAGACGGAGACAAGAAAAACAGCTGAAAACACATGCGTAGGTGATCTTGATGGAGTGGAAATCTACTACCCTGCAAGCTTTTTATATAAAGGTGACCTGTTATGCCCTTTTTACAAGAAGTAAAATCAGTATCTGATGAGATATAATAAAATAAGCATCAAGAGTGTGGAGTTTCAGCCCAAATTAGCACACAGATAATCTTTTATAGCTCTCTGAAAAAACCCTTTAGGCTTTGACAATAATTGTGGTGTTTTGGTGACTGTCGCTTTAAATGCAAATGAGATTGCGTTTTTTTTAAATAGAGGGTGTAGCTACAAACTCCTATGCATTAGCATAGTGGCAGATGTCATATGTGTGTCCTGCCCTGCTCTTCACTTTCAACCACGACAACACCCCCCACCCTCGTGAATCCCCACATACCCACCCCCCAGCTCTTCACTTTCGTCTACGGACCCATCCCCCCCATCCACCCCCCCTTCACTTTCGTATGCGACCCCCCTCCCCCCACTCTCCCACTCCTCACTTTCGTCCGGGACACCATCACAGCCCCCACCCTCTCCTCTTTTTCGTCCGCAACACAACCTCCCCCCTCAACCCCTGGACAGACGCAGACGAGTGTTTCATTCATCAAGTCTGATTATTCATTCCTTCATTCATTGATTTTCTTTTCAGTTTAGTCCCTTTATTAATCCGCCACAGCAGAATGAACCGCCAACTTATCCAGCACGTTTTTACGCAGTGGATGCCCTTCCAGCCGCAACCCATCTCTGGGAAAAAGTCAAGTTATAATAAATACAATTAATTTATGATTAGAGGCTGGATATATTCACACACTGGTGTTTAAACGCTTTATAAAAGTGATTTTTGCATTAAAAAATGGTTAGTCGATATGGCAGAATCATAAACAATAATTAAGCTCAAAAAATCGTATATTTATTGATCATCAATTGATCACCAGCATATTAAATTTGAACTGCAATATTTGTAATATTTGAACTTATTTAAAAAAAAAGCAGCATTTGTGAATATATATGACTTGAAAAAAAGATAAACACATTTAAAATTATGGTATTTATTTAGATGTTCCCTTTTATTTAATTATAATTATTATTATTATTTATAATAATAAAACAATAATGTCAATAATAATAATAATATTGAATAATAATAATAATAATAATAATAATAATAATAATAATAATAATAATAATAATAATAATAATAATACATGTTTAATAATAATAACAATTATAGTAATTATAACAATATTATATATATATATATATATATATATATATATATATATATAAACTTTATTATTAATAATAATGCTAATAATAATTAGAATAATAACAATAACAATGTCAACAACAACAATAATAATAATTATTGTTTAATAAAAATAACAATAATAGTAATTATAACAATATTACTACTAATATTAATATTAATTATAATAAAAACAACAATAATAATGATGATGATGATGATGATGATAATAATAATAATAACAAGAACAACAACAACAACAGTAATAATAGTGATAAAAATAATCAAATATTCATAATAATATTAATAATAATAATA